CTTGACAAGGTTCCTCAAACTACAAATGTTATTAAGCCAGTGTTGTTCAGCACTGAACACCTAAAATCAATTTTATTCGCATTGACCAGTATGCAACTGAAAAATTATTTCAAATTTTCTGAGTGAGATCAAGCTGGACTTCCTATTTATTTCTTATAATTTCATTTACATTTTAGTTTTAAAGTAAAGCAATATGCTTTATAGTAGAGGACCATAATATGCCCCTTGAGGCAATGCACTGTGCATACAAACTGATTTTCAGTCTAAAATATGTCAACATTTCCCTAGCGTCTAGTTGTGCCAAGATACACTTGTCATCTCGTCTAACAACTTATCAAAGATAGGGCCTTAAGCATAGGAAGCAAAATACCAAGGGAGTTCTTTACTATTTTTCCCAGTGAACATAATTCAAAACATATCTATTTGTGCATGGCTTTAAATAGCATTACTTGGTTTTACATGTATCAGTTCCTTCTGCAAACTGCCACCCCCACATAATTTTTAATGTATTTCTGAAAACAGAACAGAGAATTTAATGCAAATATACTGGCTGAGAAACAGCCAAATGTACTACAGTTATTTATTGAAGATGGATACACTTGTATGAGTTTAGATTTTCTCACATTAGAAATGACTATATATGCACATGTCCTTAAAATCCAAAGGACAGAGCATATTTGTTAACATAACTAAATTATAGCTGGCTACTGAAAATAATAGCATGGAATGGTCAGAAGCATCAAAAACTGTGCAAATTTATTTTGTCATTATCATACTGGAATGAAAAAGGACTATATTTACATAACTGGCATGATTTGAAAAACCATGTGAAGGGATCACTCAGTATTCATCCTTAGAGGGAGAAAAAAGCAGTTCTCAATTTCAGGAAGATCACTATGGAAGATTGGCTGGATGAAAGGAGATAAAGCATCTTAGCAAAATTCACTAGGTAGGCTATATTAATTTCACTGGTGCAGCAAATGATCATTAAAGTTGAAGGCCTAGCTCTCCCATTTACTTGCTGAGTGATCTCAGAAAAACCATATTACCTTACTGTCTCAGTTCTTATATCTGTAAGATGAGCTGATATATGATCATTCTCTTTTAAAACACCATCCCCTATCCCCAAATTCAAATGAAATACTCTTTGGGAACCATTTGAAAATTGTAAAGGTTTATATAAAGAGTTGATATTCCTATGACTATTATTATCAGCATATATTAATTAATATAAATATGAAATACCTAACATGAATAGGTACTGTTCCAAGTGATTTGTATGAATTACATCATTTGATTATCAAAAACTCCAGGAAGTAGGTACAATTATCTTCCCTATTTGACAGATAAGGAAACTGCATCTCAGAAAGGTTAGGTAATCTGTTCAAGGTCTTATAACTAGTAAATGCTAAAGTCAAGATTGGACCCTTAGAAGCCTGATCTATAGTCTGTACTATTAAATAATGTTATACTAGGAAGAGTGGTTGTGAATTCTAGTTGAGGACTATGATGTTCAGAAGGTGACAGGCCAAATGCTTCTTTGAAAGGGCAGAAGAAAGTCTAATGTTAACAGAATTTTAAAGGGTTGATAAGATCCATTTCTATAAACTGGGACAAATTAAAGAAAATACTCTGCGAATTTGTCAAATCAATCTAAAATTTTCAGATATATAAAGCATAACCCTGTTGTTGGGTAAGGGTGGAGATGGGAGCCTAGCTAAAACTAGTCAGTGTTTTTTTTCTGCACTGCCATGTGGCTGTATACAACTATTTTTTACGACCATGAAGGTAACCTGGGAAAATGGAAATATACAGAAAACTCAATAACACCATTTATCTTCAACTTCTTTCCTTACTGAACGTGATTATTAGAGCTGTTAAAATTGACTAAAGTTTCTCCCTTCTCTCTTCACACCTGCAAATATGGGAATGCTTAAGGAACAGTGTTATCTATAATCAGTCCAAGGAAATGGAACATATTCAAATCATCCTGTATAAGTTATAAATTCTACTTAAGTTTCTTCCTTTTATCCTCCAGATTAGCTAATAGTATTTGTGTTCCTTTGCATGATAGTATATGTTTCTGTGATTTATATGTGTAGATGATCATTTGTAATTTCCTTTTTCCTCACTGGATCACACATCTCTAAAGATCTAAAAGGTAAAGGCTCTTGCGTTGCCAAGACTACCACGCTTTATCCATGGCTTTGGCAGACGTTCTGAAGCAAGGGAATTTGCTAACTTGACACTTAACACCATGCCACATATTCCAAGCTTAACTGTTATTTTTACTTATTTACAATATCATTGCCCACAGCAGTTGTCTTGTAGTCATTAGAAATATAGGAGGATTCCATACTGGGAAGTTGGTTATTTTCACCCAGATATCTCTAAATCTTTTTCATTCTTTAACTGATACTGAATTAATCTGCTCATATAATTACCTGAATCCGGAATCTGAAGATTCCAGTGCATTTGCTCGTGTTTCTCGAAACTCAATAGATAACATTTTCCTCTGTGTTAGGGAGAAGCTAATTCTAGCCTTAAATGCCTCAACAGCCCTGAATATAAACATAGAGATTACTTATATAACTCCCCTAAGTTTTCTGATAAGCAGCACTATCAAAATCTTGCAATTTATTTGGTGTAGCCAGTTTCAAATGTTTCAGCATTAAATTCCTCATCATGGAAATAAATTTGATTTATTAAAAACTAGAGAAACCCTGCTGATATAGGTGATAGGGAGGAGGACAGCAAACCACATTGCCATGTATGTACCTATGCAACAATCCTACATGTTCCTCACATGTACTCCAAAACCTAAAACGCAATAAAATATATAAAAAAATTAGAGAAACTCTTAAGGTGTTTATGACATACTAAAATGAAAGCAAACTTGATTTTCGTCAGTCTGAATTATTGGCTTAGAAAATAAATCATTGTTCTGTAACTTTATTTCAATCATAATACAATTTAAAATAGAAAAAATGTCTTAAGCTGGGGTTGAAACTGGATGGCAAAAATATATAATCTGAATGTAGGTGATTCATTCACTCACTCAACAAGTTTTATTGAGATCCTACTGTGAACCAGACACTAGTATTAGAGAAGGCTTTATGGGGTTTACATTTTAGGCGAGGGAAATAATTAGCAAATTTGGGTTTTATTCCAAATATATCAGAAGGAGTCTAACAAGGATGTTAATAGAACATATTGGGGAGTGACAATTGGTGGAGGGATAGAGAAAAAAGTTAAATGACATAATGAAGAAACAACCACATAAATCTGAAATGTGGAAGATTACAAAGAACAAACAGATTTCTTCTAAAAATCGATTTCATGGAAAAAAAGAAAAATTATTTTAGGAAAAAAATTTAAAGAGACATAACCTTGATTTCATCTCAGTTGAGGTGAAAAGCATGTATAAGAGATTTCTTTCTAGAATAATAAAATGTTCTCAAATTAGATTAAGATGATGGCTATACAACTTTTGTAAATTTGCAGTAAATCATCAAACTGTACACTTAAACAATTCTCATGGTATAAAAACTCCAATAAAACTGCTAAAAACTGAGAGAAGGGATCTAAGATATCTCATACTGATTAGGCATTAGATGATAGGAAAATAAGCAGTTTAAATATGGTAATACTGAGATTACATAGAATGCCCTTATCTTTAGGCAATATATGCTGCAATATGTTCATTGAAGCATCATGAGGTCTGTAACCTACTTTCAAATGATGCAGCAAAACAGAGAAAGCAAATAGAACAAAATGATAAAAGTTCTGGACTCTAGATAGTGGGTATTTAGGTGTTAGTCTTCAGGTTTTCCAAGTGCTTGTGAATTTCATAAAAAAAGTTGGAAAATATATTATTTTTAAGAGATTAAAAGAAGTCGCAGGGGGATATTAAGTAGGGAATGACAATCTGTGGTTATTGGCCATATTAACAATCAATTTGGGCCTGCTTACTATATGATTTGATCAGTTAGACAGAAATATCTCAATGCTATGAATATTGAATAAATTTAGTATAGTGAAAAAATAATTAATGATGAAGCTACAGATAGACTTGGGCTAATGTCATGTCTGCAGCAGTATGAATAGTGGTAATGCAATTCACCTTTCCTTTCTGCTTTCTATCTGTCCCATTTTTTCCTTTCTGTTTGGCTAGTTTACTTTTTTTATGCCCAGTTCATGAAATCAAGAATCCCTAAGGTACATGGCATAACTAAAGACCTTAACTAAATCTATGAACTCCAACCTAAATAATTTAGTCACTGATTAACTCTTCCATTTTTATCTTCTTCCACATTCATTCTCCTCTTTGTACTTCAAGTTCAGTAGCTTCTTTCTCTCAGTATCTCTGATATGCCATATTCCCTCAGCCCAAGACCTTTGCAAATACTATTCCCTCCCTAAGGGAAACCTTAGTATCATTTACATAGGGAAGCCTTTCTTGATGTCTTTGAAAATGTTAGGTGTGATAATTACACTCAAATTATTTGTATAATGATTTGTTTAAATCCATTTCCCCCACTAGATTATGGATTCTATAAGGAAAGGATTCATGCCTTGAGAATTCACCACTGAAGCTCTCCAAACAATAAATAAATATACATTCTATTATTTATCTCATTTACAAACCAAAAGAAACAACCTCTATTAACTGCATATCCTTTAAAATCTATTGCTCCATTTCTCTGCTTATCTTTTAGCAAAACTCCTGGAAATAGCTATTTATACAAAGTTTTCAACTCCTTTCCTCTCAGTCTCTCTCAAACTCATAGCAATGGAACTTTCATTTCAACCACTCCATGGGAACTTTTCCTGTCTAGGTTATGAATGACCTCCATGTCACTAATCTCATGATCAATTATTATTCTTCATTTTATCTTCACGGATCAGCATAATTTGACAGAGTAGATCACTCCCTCCTCCTTGAAACACTTACCTCAAATGGCTTCCAGGATAACACACACTTTAGGTTTTCCACTCACCTTTTCCAGTTGCTTCTTTCCTGGCTCCTTTTCAGGTTCTTCCACTTTTACCATAGAAAAATGAGAAATGAGATAATGTTTGTTAAAGTTCTTGCACTAACATGGCAGTAAGTTTTAGGTTATAGAACTAAAACTTAGAGTAACAAAAAAAAGGGTAACAAAATTTGAAGAGGTATATGACCAGAACAAAATATTGTTTTATCAGCCAAACTAATCACCCTTTTTAGAAAGTTATGATTAGCACTTCCTTACCATTATTGTTATTTATTCAATTGTAAACAACTATTTACTATAACTATAGATTGCTCCCTGCTCTCCCACAGTTTCTACCTGTAATTGTTTACCTCATGTATTCTTTCCTCACTGCCTATTGAAACCACTTTACCCTCAATCTAATCATTGTTGTGAAACCCAATTTCTTTGAAAAAAATTCTACCCCATCACCTACACTTCTATTTTATATTTCAATACTGCTTTAAACCTTAAAGTAAATTAATAAAAGAGCGACTGGGGTAATATTTATGAAATAATTTTCCCCACCTTAAGTAATTAAGAAATAAATTCATTTTTAATGCCCCTTAGTGTCCCTAAACTTTCATTGCCAACAAAGCCTGATGAATATAGAACTTTCTGATAGTAATAACAGTATACCGATGAAACAGGAACTCAAAATATGGTCCCATAACCATGGGGATCTTCAAGATCTTTTCAGGGAGTCTCCAAAGTTCTCCTTTTTCTAACTACGTATTTGTGTAAGGTCTGATTTTCTTCCTATACTTCAACTAGAACATCATATCATAACAGACTTAATGTGGAAACTGATAAGAGAATTATTGAGTGAGGTATCGAAGAGATTTTTAAAATATGCAATAGTATGTCTGGTTTTCACTAAATGTTTTATTTTGGAAAATATAGTCATATTTTATAAAGTGTTACCTGGCTAACAGGTAATGGGTTTATTCTTGGTATTTTCAAATGAGTTAAACATTGCAACATTTCTCAGTTTTACTTTAACACCACAAATATCAAACATTACTATATATCAGATATTATTACCACATAAATAAATGCTGTTTAAGGTTCTTGGTAATTTGTAACAGTGTAAAGAAATCCTGAGGCTATAAAGTTTGAGAAACTTTGCCCTCCAAAATTGTTGCTCAAATAATATCCATGAACCACCTGCCTGATTTTTATTAAAAGCATATTTTTATTTTTAATATGTCAAAGTATTAATTGACTATAATATATGTATATATAACCTGCCTATATTTATTAAAAATATAGAGTTTTGATTTTACAGAATATCTTCTAAATAATAATTGTGGGGACCAGTCATGAATTTATATTTTGAACACGATCTCTGGGTGATTCTTATACACATTAAAATTAGAAAAGTCAAATGAAGGGATATAAAGACTTTGAGGTCTGATGAATCCAAACCCTAGTTTTGGACACTTCCTGGTTGTAACCCTAGCCTATACTACTCTTAAGCAATTTCCAGCTCTTAGTTTCCCCTTCCCCTATGTCCCTAATCCTATTCTAACTGTAAATATTCAATTAAATAACTGTTCATTTCCTGAAGAAGTTCCAAGATTTTGTATCAGAGAAGTTTTAGAGGCAATAATCTGGGTCCGAGAGAAAGGACACTGGAAAGGACACGTGTACTTCCATAAGAGGCACAATGTTTTTACTTAAATCGTTTTGAGGTGGCTATGAGAAGATGATGGCGATTCTAATGGGATACTGTCTTCCAGGCTACTCCTTGGCATCGACACCTATTTGATTCTGCTACAGAACAGGGAGAGCCTCTTCAAAGGATTTTATTTTCTGTTCTTCACCTCCAAGCACATGACACCGTGAAGCTGGCAGCCATTTCATCTTGCCCTAACCCCAACCCAAATCAGTTATTCTTATCAAGCTACCTGCTACTTCCTCAATGCTTGTTGTGATTTGAATACACAGTTCTGACCAACGAAAGGCTTGGAACTGGTTAGAATGTTATCAATTCAGTCAGTTAGCAGAAACTAACAATAACCCATGAAATTTTGCCCACCACTGAACCATCCCTTTAAGATCCATCCCTTTAAGAAAGTTCTTCTCTGCAGAAGAGTGCTGCTCATAGTTTATTAACTTGCAGGATGAGAATTGTAGAGTGATGTTTAAAAATCCAGATTCCCGTGTTTCATCCCAGACCAAGTATATCAGAATCTCTGGGAGTAAGACCTAGGAATTTAAAAAATGTCTTCAGGGGCCGGGCATGGTGGCTCATGCGTGTAATCCCAAGACTTTGGGAGTCCAAGGTAGGCAGATCACCTGAGGTCGGGAGTTTGAGGCCAGCCTGGCCAACATGGTGAAACCCCATCTCTACTAAAACTACAAAAATTAGCCGGGTATGGTGCCATGTGCCTGTAATCCTAGCTACTATGGAGGATGAGGTAGGAGAATCCCTTGATTCTGGGAGGCAGAGGTTGCAGTGAGCTGAGATTATGCCATTGCACTTCAGCCCAGGAGAAAGAGCAAGACTCCTTCTCAAAAATAGAAAGTCTTCAGGTGATTATGGATTATGGTAGAAACTAAAGTCTGGAAACCATTGAAATAGGAAAAATGTCATGTAAAAACAATACAGAGAATAAGAAAAATATGCTTATTCTCTCTCATCACCTAGTTCTTTCACCAATTGCAAGCATAGGATGTTGTCACCTACATCCCCTTCTATATAGACATAATATTTGTTTCCTTCCAATTAGACACTGCTATTCAGGAGTTCTAGACCATCCAGTAGCACCAGGAGTAGTGATAGTTATTCTATCTAAAGTCACAAGATATTTAAGTATAAATTAAAATGCCCAGGTAATAGCTTATACTGAAAATAGTATAAACACAGGAATTTTAGTTGGATAACCAACATATTCTGTCTCTGTTAGAGGATATACATACTTCTGTATGTATATCATACATAAAAATCATAATCAGAGTTTTCCTTGGTGAGCCTGGAATCATTAAAAAGGGAGTCAGTAGATTTTCTTAATGATCACTACCTTAAGGTTTAATTTGATGTATTTACCCATCTCCATCATTGAGAAGGAGACTGGAATATTCCAATCTACTAATCACAGCACTCTCTTTCTTGACAGTGCTGGAAACCTGCAACTAGCTCTCTCATTTTCCCTAATGGAGCAATTTTCTTTCTGATAATTCACTCTCCTGTTAAATGATTAGATTTTACATTTTTAATTTATAATCATGGTCTATTTGTGTCTCCTTTAGACTCAACCAAAACTGAGCGTTTCCAAATTGAATCATCTACTCACCAGCCTTCTCTTGGGTTAATTTTTTAAGTGTTTTATTTTACTAGGGATATAAATTTTTCTTAATTTTGCCTTGTATTTCTGACCCCTCTGTAATGATCACATGATACAATGAATTTTAAAAATACAAGCAATCAACTTTTAAAGAGATCTCAAGATTGTTTAGTATAATGTCTACTAATTGTAAAAATATCACGGCAGAAGGTTTCCATTGTGTTATATTAACTGGAGAATACTTTCAAAGTGGTTTATTGCATCAAAAAAATATTTCAAATGAAAATATTATAAACAAGCATGTATATCTTTCTCAAAAGATGCTCTGTAATATTGACATTTTTTGTCTGCATTTTGCATTTCTACCTCTGCTTATCTTAATCTCTCTCCTAAACATACAAGATAATCCCTTGTGCTGACAACCCAATGTTATTTTTCTCTGCACTCACTTGTTCTTTTCCTTTAAAAAAAAACTCTGTTTTTTTTTTAAAGGTCTAAAATACATGTGCTTTATTGCACTGGATAATAATAAACATTTTGATTTTAACAAAGATTATATTAATAATCTATTATCTAGATAATTCTTTGTTCAACATTTTACACTGTGTAAATATCTCAAAAGAGCAATTTGAAACAAGCGAATGTTAACCTTGTTGTTACTGCAAAGTTAAACTTTGTTATAAAACTTTATAAGAAATATTAGTTACAAAAAGCAAAACGGCAAAATTAGTACTAAATGCATGGATACATGCTCCCTTCAGAAGGGCTTTGGCCTTCAAAAAGGGTTTTAATGTTGCATCTCAAGTTTAATAGTTGTGAAACCATAGACTGATCTTTTAGCCTTTATTAGGATAGTCTTCACATTGGGTAAAATGAAAAACCCTGTCTCTGTCTTGTGGGTTTTTGTGAAAATCCAAAATGGTACTGATATGAGCACACTTCAAAAAGACAAATATGTTATACTGATGTAATTTCATATTGTTGGAATTGTTAATTTTAAGAATTGATGTAATTTCATACTGTTAGAATTGTTAATGTTAAGAATCATCATGCTATCAAAAGGATATAAAGGGAGGACCATATAGGTCTATATAACAAAAATTTCAAAGGAAATTTTGAAATTAAAGAATATATATCTCAGTGATATTACACACACACACACGTACTCACAGGTAAGCTTTTAGGAGATCCTATAAATAATACAGATAGCTATGCAAATATTGTACACTGGGTTTGCCCAGCTTACATTACATATATTTATTCTTTTCTGTGTGCAGTCCATCTTCCATACTGCCAACTCTAGTTTCCTACCTTAAAATAAAACCCCGACTTTTTCAAATGTCATTATTTTGGCAAAAAGATCCTGGCTTCCACTTGTTTCTCTAAACGCATCTCCCCTTAACTTCCTTCCTCTTATTCTCTTTCTTCCTTGACTCATCACTATGACTCCTATGCTACAGCTATAGGAAATACCCTACTGTTCCTCAAATATTCTGGGTCTTTTCTAACTCTTTGACTATAAACAATCATGTTGTTTCCTTTGGCTGGAAACCTTTCTTTAATCCCTGACTTCTCTGATCCTCTTAGTAAGGAAATAATTTCCTTCTACCCTATATGTCCATTACATGTGGTTCATTCATTATTCAAACAATATCATATATGAAGTGTCTATTATGTTCCAAACACTGTGCTAGGAAATGCTTACAACATGAAAGTAAACAATACAATCATGGTTCCTAACC